TGACCTGGAAGGTGCCCGCGAGATACTTACGAGGCGTGGCCGAGCATTCTTAGCCCTTGCCGCAAGTACTCGAGACGGGGCGACGGGGTCACATCTTTCGTGAGTCTCTGCTTGTTACCGCGCGTTCCTAATCCACTACGATTTGGATATTTGATCCGAGGGGCCTCTGGCCTGATAGCACTAACCATCACGTGGGCATAGTATGGGCGTTCTGCGTCGTATACATCAGCCGAAGTTTAATAGACGTCAGCGACCGAGCGGCGCGCGCCGGGTTGGACTGCGTAAGCTCCTGCCTTGTTTAAGCAGGTAGCTAGATCTGCTCACCGGTCGCCCACGCAACATGCAGAGTTCCCGGGGCGATGGCCCATGACCCCTGGGGCATAGGTTTAGTCCTGTGTGCTGACCTCTCTATTAAGCCTAGGTCGGGTTGCGGCGTATTGTTTGGCCGAGGCCGGGCATGACCCAGGAAAGTGTGTCCGGCCGGAGTTAATCGAGCGTGGTGGGTAAGTTGGTGCACCCCTGCAGGGAAGAAAACATCTATCGATAGCCTGTCCTACGGTAATGGACACTTGGAGTTGTATCCCGATCGATAGAACTAGAACTGGATACTTGAGATGAGACATGGAGATGAGACTTGGATATGAGATGATAACTGGATAGTATGGCTCTGGGATTGCTTTATCGCAGGGAGTCGAGAAAGGATCTCTGGCCGAGTTGATAACACTTCTACTACTCTACTTTATGCTACTCTACTCCCTCCTGTTGCTGCAAGATGGTGTTTTCCAGAAGATGCTAGTCTTCGATAGGATTAGGCCTTCTCTCTATTCTGGCATTCTGCAGTTTAGTCCACAGATACAACCCATTCGTTTGATACAGATGCATACTTAGTTTAGATCTGATGTAAGTCTTGCGAGTACTTTGGATGAGTACTCACGGTTGCTTTGCTACCTCTTTTTCTCCCATACCCGATTGTTGCGACCAGATGACGGATCCAATGAGCCAGATGACACCACTGAAGACTACTGCTACCCCAAGGGTGCCTACTACTACGTGACGACGGCTGGCGACTTGGAGTAGTTAGGAGGCTCCCAGGGTGGAGGCCTTGCCTTTTCGATCGTTGTTGCTTTTGTGCTAGCCTTCTTAAGGCAAACTTGTCTAACTCATGTATGTACTCAGATATTGTTGCTTTCGCTGACTCTTGTGTATTCGAGCCCTCGAGGCCCCTGGCTTGTGATATAAAGCTTGTGTTATTTTAATTTGTGTCTAGAGTTGTGTTGTGATATCTTCCCATGAGTCCTTGATCTTGATCATACACATTTGCGTGTATGATTAGTGTACGATTGAATCGAGAGCGTCACAGTTCCAAACCCTGGGGGAGCTGAGTGTTTGGGCACTTGAATAGGTGCCAAGTGGGGAGGGATTTCAGACGCTACCTATCGGGTTTTCTCTTGTTCCAAGGCCAGTCTTTTTCTTAGTTCTTCTGTCAGTTGCCTGTCTTCTGGTGCAGCGTTTCCTTGTTCGCTTGCTGATGTTCAGAAACTGGTTGGCCCGCGGGTGATGATGTCGAGGCCCTAGTGGCCGTCAATGTTTTGAGTACATCTGCCATGGTTGTGAGCTGAGTGTTCAACGAGGATATAGCTTGTTGGACCCCGTCCATCACCGAGACCATGGTGTCCTACTTGAGGCTGATGTTGTGCACATCCTTGCGGAGGTCATCGACTTCGCCACGCAGCTCTGCGGTTTCGTCACGGTGCTGCAGAAATTCGCCCTTCATGGCCAGGAGTTCGGCGATTTCCGACTCGTCGAGACTGGCCTTGCCGCGCCCCATCTTGGCTAAGTAATTCAGAAGGGAATTTTACCCCCAGGACTTGCCCGGGAATCGGATCTGAATACTCAACCCTGCCGCCGTCGCTCGAGATCGCCACCAGAATAGCACCACACGCCGCCGACCTGGGATTTTACCGAGTGAGCAATTTGCTCAGACAAGTCAAGCTCGACACGGTGCCGACGAATGGGTCTACCGCCACCAGCGCCACCTACACCGCCGCCAACGCCACCTACATCGTCGCCGTCGACGAAAGAGGGAGGGAAGGGTGGGAAATCACCGCCGCAGCTCCGATCTACTGCGTCACCGAGGAAAACCTACGCTCATGATACCAATTGGCACACCCTAATTGAGGAATTGGGAAGGATTAGATCTAGATCACACGAACAAATGGGGAAAGTAGGCACCTGCTAGGGTTTCTGTATTACTATAAGATATATGTTTGAGTAATGAAATGGTCTCATGAAAAACGATGCATTACAAGACGTTGGGAGTGAGCTTTACAACCCAGCTGGCACAGGGTGACGGCTATAGTGCCGTAGATGAAACGCTACAGGAACCGGCTGAAACGGTACAGTGAAACGGCGAGCATAGCGAGCCGTCCGATCGTCGGGTCGAGGGTGAATCTGGGCCAGACGTTAACTGAAGAAGAGATACACTTGTTAACTGAAGATGCATGGCTGACATCTGCCCTCCTCCGCCTCTCGCCAGCAGCCGAATCCGTCGGCGGCCGGTGGCTGCCTCCGACTCGCCGCCACTCATAACTGGACATTGTGCTGATCAGAGGAAAGATAGCCTCGAACAATCCTACGAGGTTATAAATGATTCCGGGAATTGTGCAGATAGGGAGGCATCAGTGGAAATGTATGCTATTCACTAGCTTTTCACTCTTTCCTTTGAAGAAGAACTTTGATTAGAAAATACTTCTAAGTTCTGTTACTGATAGTGATTGCTTTGCTTCTTCTTCAGTATAAGCAACATGAACAAATACAGGCAGCAATAAAACTATCTTTGTTGTCAACATCACTGGTTTCCTTTTGGCTCTGCACATTCATGTTTGAATGGCTTTAGTCTATTTGTTCATGTGAACTTTTGCAGTCAGGCTCAGCTTGATTCTGATGACTTCGGCTGCAGCCTTTCAACAACTGACGCTCACCCAGATGAGCAAGAGGAAGAAACTCAAGCAGAGGAAACTGTGGAGAAGGTAAATCCAAAACATTTTTCAGAACAAACCAGAAGTACTTCAGCACCTTCTGAATGTGAGTGCCTTCTGTACACTGGACACTTTGTTTCTTTGAAGCGTGCTATGTCAAATTGCACCAGCATCACAATAATCCTAGCAGTTTATTGGTGTCCTTTCCTATACGTAAGTGTCAAGCAGTGATAGAGTACTTGTCATTTAAGTTGAGTAAATTGGTAGCATTCTTTTCTCACTATGGTATATAAACACCTCTATGAACAGTCATTCATAGTACAGAAAATTGATTGAGTGCCTGAGCACAACTTAAAGATTGTGAAATACTTTAACAGATTTATGTGCAAATTGATCATATTTGAATTGTGTTACCGAATCATTACTGAGGATGGTCATGCATGACAACCTTGCATGTTTTCATCTGCAACCTCCCAGCTCACGAGATTTATGTGTTTTGGACATTGACATGTCCCAAAATTCAGTTAATGTAAACAACCTGCTTTTTTGGTGAAGAGGGGTTGCAATAGTTATTGAAGTATGTATAACAATCGTTTACCTTTTCTTGTTCACTATAGCCATGTCCACATATTCCCGTTTTCTTTTTCTCTGCCCACACATTATCCTGTGGATGGCAAACGCAAGCTTGTTATAAATGGATTGTATGCTAGATATTTTCTTGCTGTTATTTTCATCTGAACATATTTAAAGCTGTTACCTTTATATTCAGTTGCTGCCGCAATCCAATCAGAAATTGAACGCATCCAGGACCAGGATGATAACGATTGTTACAGACGTTTCCTAGAAGACCTGCGCCAAAGCATTGCTACACCAGTACTGTCTTTTTGCTGCTGATTTCCTTCTTGCTTCTCAACAAGCTAATATCTTGGTCCTTGAACAGCGACAGATAGTGCATATATCCATTCAACAACCAATTAGCATCATAATAACCCATATGCTGTGTTTCTCTCAAAACAAATAACCCAGATATTGTGTTAATGTGTTCTCTTATTGCTAGTTCACTACAGATGCTTAGTTGTTATTCATATATCACAGAACATGCTTTCCTCGTGCCCACCATGTAATTTAAGTAGTTTATGCTGAACAATTCTATGTAAGGCTTAATTGTATCGTGATATCGTATTACCCTGATAAATAAGAGTTGGTTTATCACAAACAAAACTTTGATGCCTTAGGAAATAGAGAAGATTAGTTCAGGGAAAAAATAGTCTGTACAAACTGACTCTAATATAATCAATACAACAATATGTAACGAAGCTGGTAAGAGCTGCAATTACAAGCTATTAAAATGATCTATAGAAGCAACAACTTATACGGATATATCGCCGCAAAAAACAAACAAAAAACTTGTACGGATATATGTTTGATCAGGACCTATGATACTATGTCTTCTTCCATATTGCTCTACTGTTGTTGTACATTTATAATTGCATCCTTCATATCAACAGTATGCTACGATAATTGTATCCTTCATACCAATAGTAGCTACGATATCAACAGTATGTATAATTGTATCCTTCGTACCAACAGTATGCTACGATATTAACACCACCTAGTCTCTTTGTCATCTTAGTTGTTTACAATAATCTTTTGAGATTATGATCCCTCTACTACAGTTGCAGCATGTATTACAAATGGGGAAGTAGTTCATGGGTCTGGTCTTAAAAGTGATGATGACGACAAGAGTTGTCTCTTGAATGTGATTATCCAGGTAACTATCCGATTTATGACACATGCATCTATGATTTGTTTCACATAATGACAATTATTCTTCTCTACATTCAGTCATTATGGCATTTAAGGGGATTCCGAGATGAGCTGCTCAAAACATCGTCACGCTATAAATATGTTGGAGATCCTGGCGCTGTTTCTTGTGTTGTATGTGCGTTATGTCATATTTTTACCGAGTTGAGCAAAGTATCTAAGGGGGAAGGAGAGGCTGTTGCACCTACTTCTTTGAGGATGGCTTTGAGCATCTCATTCCCCGCTGAGAAGTTAATTCGGATGGTATATTTCTGTCTTTTTTTCATAGTAGTTTTGTGCGTACACATATTTATACATCATTTTGTCATCGGACTGATCACTTTATCTACAAATGACTCCTTTGTCTATCTGATACTCTTTGACCATGATTAGGGACAAATGAATGATGCATCTGAGGTATTGGAGGCAATCTTAAGACGCATGCATGATTCATACACTTATCGTGCTGACTACCATGCTGAATCTCACGAGCACAATTGTAGTGGCTCATGGGATTGTGCAAACAAGGATTGCATTGCACACACTATATTTGGTGCAGACGTCCATGAAAGGATGATCTGCTACAGTTGTGGGTTAGAGTCTAGACAACAAAAATATACATCATTTCTCCATTATATCAATGATTGTTCACTTAATTATGCAATGGTTAGTTGTGTTCTTCTACTGGTTTATTGTATTATGTACTTTATGGTTGCTGATATGTTGTGCCTGGGTTTATTGTTTGTTCCATGGTACAGAGGATCTGTCCAGGCAATCCATTTGATGATATTTTGAAGGCTGTGATGATGGATGTCCACAGAACTTGTGATCCTGATGTGGGTGGCTGTGGAAAATCAAATCATATGAGCCACAGTCTCTCTAGTTCCCCTCATGTTTTCACAGTTGGTAAATGTCTTTCTTTTCGATATATATATATATACATGTATATATATATATATATATATATAGGAAAATGGTTGTGTACTCCTGGGAGTACGTACTCCCGCTCCTCATATACCACATAGATGAATCTTTTATATCTTTTTATTATTTTTAATATACTTCATTAGTAATTATTATATATATATATATATATATATATATATATATTTGGTCTGGAGATTCTAACAGACATTTGGTCATGTAGTACTCTTAAACTTTTTGCATAGTGCTTTGCTTAATGTTTTTTAGGATTTTGCCTGCTGAAAAGGTTCTTGAGTCACCAAGCCGTGTCAAGACATCTTAGTGTCTGACTAGTCGGCGGCTAGCTTGGACTGATCGAACCTTTTTTTTTCTTCGAGAAAACGCAAAAGACCTTGCGTTTCTTTTCATTGAAAAGGTAGGGGGTCAGTTACAGTCGTCCTAGGACGAATAAAGCGAGAATCAGATACAAGGCTCAGTGCACATCCCATGTAGGGGGGAGGACTGATCGAACCTAGTCGAGTGTCTAGTTTGGTGGGCTTCAGAAAAACAGAGGGAGGGGGGTTATTAGTCAAGTACCAGCAGCAAACCACCATTGCAGCGCAGGCTAGTGGGCTAGGCCGTCGATGACTAAAAAACGTTTGCTGCTGCGCACAGAATTGATCATTCAACTATAAAATCTGCTTGTATGCTCTTTTGTTAATGGGATTATTGATCAACATGAATCTCTTCTTACCCGTTTAACTTTTGTTTTTAGCTTTGGGATGGCAGACTGGAAATGGGAGTGTGAGGGACATGCTACCTCATATTTTGGCTGCCCTTGGGACAGAGATAGATTTGGGCGTTATCTACCCTGGTGCAAGTCGACGGAGCAAACACTCCCTGGTGTCAATGGTAGGCCTATAAAAGACCCCTCTTTGCTATTCCAAAATTACAGACTGCTTAGTGAAATGTGTTTTGTTTGTAAAACAGATCGATGTATGCAGGTATCTGTTTCCTGTTATACTGATACGATCAGACTCATCAGACACTTAACATGGCCTGGTTTGCTGTTTTTGCATGCAGGCTTGCTTCTACAGCCAGCGCTATATCTGTTTTGCTATCGATGGCGAGCACTGGGTCCTGTATGATGACCAGACTGCTGAGGTAACCAGATATAAGCGCTGCACCTACTAAAAGTGAAGGTTTTTCCTGATTTTTCGCTTACTATGACCTGGCTTTTGGTCTGTCCAGGTTGTTGGTGATTGGATTCAAGTGCTCAGTATGTGCGAGGAAAAGGAAATGCAACCTCTGCTTCTTTTCTTCGAAGCTGCAAATTGATTGATTGTTATTCTGCCGAAAAGTTTTGGCTTAAGGAAGGATGTTGATTTGACGTGAAACATTGGGATGCTCTTTGTAATTTTGAAAAAATAGTCTAGTTAAATTGTTAAGTGTGTCTATTTTATAACTTATGGTTTAAGATTGGTCCACGCCATCTCATCTAAATCGCTCATATAGAACTCGCCGAGTTGTCTCCCAACTTGCCGAGACCCTCATTGTGCTCTACATCAATATCAATCCCATATAATCATGAGTAGGGTTATTAACTGCATCACGGGTCTGAAAACTTGTACCCCTTGTTCGTTTGATAGGTCATGTTCCACTGCCAAACAAAACAGGTGCGACTACCGTACTTTTGGGAGGTACCTGGTGAAATATCCTCCACATTGCTCATATACTCGTGAATACAATTAGTACCCTAATCACTTGTGACTAAGACAAAACCCACAAAGTTGTCCTTCTAATCTCCCTAGTTTTTTTTGAGGATCTAATCTCCCTAGTTTTGGTGGTTGATGACAACGTAAAATAGATTGTTAACATAAAATGTTTTGGTTTCTTTCGATATAGAGTTTTCTCCCTAGATTTGTCCACAATTGAAATTTCTGCTTTTGAATACACAAAATGGACAAAATAGAATTGAAAGAGCTCCCACCATATCTTTAGAAGCGGAGGGTGCAAAGTGTGCAAGCTATGAAAAAAAAAGGGCAACCTGGTGCATGTAGCTCCCGCTTGCGCAGGGTTCAGGGAAGGGTCCGACCACTTTGGGTCTATAGTACGCAGCCTTTCCCTACATTTCTGTAAGAGGCTGTTTCCAGGACTTGAACCCATGACCTCATGGTCACAAGGCAGCAGCTTTACCACTGCGCCAAGGCTCCCCTTCAAAGTGTGCAAGCTATGAAATATAAACAATTTTTGCACTAGTGTGTACCATGGCGTAAGAAGACTTGATATAGAACATGGCAATATATAATCATGGAGAGATAGATTGGTCAAGATACGACAACTATAAAAGTACTCAACTTAGATCCACGATTCTCAACTAAGCATAACAACACATAGTCTGAAACATACGATAAATAATGAGTAGCAAGTCATGACACACAAATAAAGTACGGTGCAAGATTATTAAAAGAGTTTCACAAACTCAAATAAGAAGTAAATCAAGGAGCGGGAGCTTGTGATCATGCAACTCCCAACAAAATAAAATCCCGCAGAAACCGAATAGAACTTAATTATCCCCGTTCTGGTATCAAGACACCAAAAGGGTAAGGAGTTGAATGGACCGTTTTGAAGGAAATTATGTTGAAACTTGGATTTCATGAAAATTGGGTCAATTTGATAATGCAGTGCGTGTCCACTCATGAGTATCAGGTTCGTTTTAACTCTAAAGAAAGTGAGAGTTTAAGCCTACGAGAGGATCAAGACAAGGGGATCATTTGTTTCCCTATCTGTTCTTGTTATGTAGGGAGGGTCTAGCTACTCTTTTAGTGCATGCGAAGGAGAGCATTAATATTTCTGGAGTTAAGGTTTGCAGAGAGGCCCTTCTATTACCAATCTTCTATTTATTGATGACTCTTTGATCCTTACGAAAGCTAATTCACAAAATGTAAGTCTTTAAAATTGATTTTGGATTCTTATTGTGCGGCCCCGGGGCAATTGGTGAGTGGAAAAATCAAGCATCTTCTTTAGCTCCAGTTTGGGAGTGGAGACTCGAGAACAAATTTGAACCATTTGTTATATCATGACAGAGGCTCTCAGTGATAGATATTTGGGCGATTTGGGCTTGCCTGTCTCCATGGGTATGGAGAAATCAGATTGTCTTCAATATCTCGTTGATCGAATTAATATGAGAACTAATGGACGGAAATAAAGATGATACCCATTGGAGGGAAGGAAGTTCTCCTCAAATCTGCCGTACAAGCTATTCTCGCTTATGCTATGTAAACCTTCAAAATTCCTAAACAAACTTGCGAAGGAATAACTGACATGATGCCGTGTTAATGGTGGCGAGACGAGGACAATCAAAAGAGGATGTTACGCAATCTCGGATCTGCTATCACCAGCGTTTCCGACCCACATGCGTCAACCAGGCCCAATCGAAGAGCAACACTGACTTATGAGAGGCCTTGGGCCCTCTCCCCCCGAAAGACTAGCCTGTTAGGAGGGGACACCCCCGGCCTTATAAGTCGTGTTATGTCTCCCCCCACAACTGGTGTGGGACTAAACCCAACAATCTCCCCCTCACACATCGGTCACCCATGGGCCCGCTAACACCAGTGTTTCCAGCCCACCAACCATGACCGACTACCCGTGAGTCCAACGAGATTTATTCCGGGCACCTGGGCTCTGATATCAATTGTTATGCAATCCCGGGTCCTCTATCACCAGTGTTTCCGACCCACATGCGTCAACTAGGCCCAACCGGAGAGCAACACTGACTTATGAGAGGCATTGGGCCCTCTCCCCCCAAAAGACTAGCCTGTTAGGAGGGGACACCCCCGCCCTTATAAGTCGTGTTATATCTCCCCCCACAACCGATGTGGGACTAAACCCAACAGAGGATACATTGAATGGTTGGTTGAAGATGTGTGTTCTTAAGAGCCAAGGGTGTATGGGATTTCATGATATCTGGTGCTTTGATCTCACGATGTTGGCATAACAAGTGTGGCATCTTCTAGATAATCCGGATTCTTTATGCGTAACAATTTTCAGAGCCAAATATTTTTCCAATGGCGATTTGTTGAATGCTAAGTTAAAAAGGGATATGATGGCGAAAGTTAGTTCTCTTAAGCATGGTCATATTTGGAGGGTTGTTTGTAGGGGAACGTAGCAGAAATTCAAAATTTTCTATGCATCACCAAGATCAATCTATGGAGTAATCTAGCAACGAGGGGAAGGAGAGTGCATCTACATACCCTTGTAGATCGCTAAGCGGAAGCGTTCAAGAGAACGGGGTTGAAGGAGTCATACTCGTCGTGATCCAAATCACCGGAGATCCTAGTGCCGAACGGACGGCACCTCCGCGTTCAACACACGTACAGCCCGGTGACGTCTCCCATGCCTTGATCCAGCAAGGAGAGAGGGAGAGGTTGAGGAAGACTCCATCCAGCAGCAGCACAACGGCGTGGTGGTGGTGGAGGAGCGTGGTACTCCAGCAGGGCTTCGCCAAGCATCGCAAGAGACGAGGAGGGAGAGGGGTAGGGCTGCGCCAAGAAGGAGAGGAACTCGTGTGTATTGGGCAGCCCAAACCTCAAGTATATATAGGGGGAGGGGAGGGGCTGCGCCCCCACCTAGGGTTCCCTCCCTAGGGGTGGCGGCAGCCCCCAGATCCCATCTGGGTGGCGGCCAGGTGGAGGGGAGAGGGAGGCGCACTAGGCATGGGCCCTAAGGCCCATCTGCCCTTAGGGTTTGCCCCCCTCCTCCCCTTAGGCCCCTTGGGCCCTTGTGGGGGGCGCACCAGCCCACCTAGGGCTGGTCCCCTCCCATACTTGGCCCATGCAGCCCTCCGGGGCTTGTGGCCCCACTTGGTGGACCCCCGGGACCCTCCCGGTGGTCCCGGTACGTTACCGATAAACCCCGAAACTTTTCCGGTGACCAAAACAGGACTTCCCATATATAAATCTTTACCTCCGGACCATTCCAGAACTCCTCGTGACGTCCGGGATCTCATCCGGGAATCCGAACAACATTCGGTAACCACATACAAACTTCCTTTATAACCCTAGCGTCATCGAACCTTAAGTGTGTAGACCCTACGGGTTCGGGAACCATGCAGACATGACCGAGACGTTCTCCGGTCAATAACCAACAGCGGGATCTGGATACCCATGTTGGTTCCCACATGTTCCACGATGATATCATCGGATGAACCACGATGTCGAGGATTCGATCAATTCCGTATACAATTCCCTTTGTCTAGCGGTATTGTACTTGCCCGAGATTCGATCGTCGGTATCCCGATACCTTGTTCAATCTCGTTACCGGCAAGTCTCTTTACTCGTTCCGTAACACATCATCCCGCGATCAACTCCTTGATCACATTGTGCACATTATGATGATGTCCTACCGAGTGGGCCCAGAGATACCTCTTCGTCACACGGAGTGACAAATCCCAGTCTCGATTCATGCCAACCCAATAGACACTTTCGGAGATACCCGTAGTGCACCTTTATAGCCACCCAGTTACGTTGTGACGTTTGGCACACCCAAAGTATTCCTACGGTATCCGGGAGTTGCACAATCTCATGGTCTAAGGAAATGATACTTGACATTAGAAAAGCTTTAGCATACGAACTACACGATCTTTGTGCTAGGCTTAGGATTGGGTCTTGTCCATCACATCATTCTCCCAATAATGTGATCCCGTTATCAACGACATCCAATGTCCATGGTCAGGAAACCATAACCATCTATTGATCAACGAGCTAGTCAACTAGAGGCTTACTAGGGACATGGTGTTGTCTATGTATCCACACGTGTATTTGAGTTTCCTATCAATACAATTCTAGCATGGATAATAAACGATTATCATGAACAAGGAAATATAATAATAACTAATTTATTATTGCCTCTAGGGCATATTTCCAACAGTCTCCCACTTGCACTAGAGTCAATAATCCAGTTCACATCGATATGTGATTAACACTCAAGGTCACATCCCCATGTGACTAACACCCAAAGAGTTCTGGGTTTGATCATGTTATGCTTGTGAGAGAGGTTTCAGTCAACGGGTCTGCAACATTCAGATCCGTATGTACTTTGCAAATTTCTATGTCATCTTGTAGATGCAACTACTACGCTACATTTGGAGCCATTTCAAATAACTGTTCTACTTGGAGCTATTCCATTGTACGTATCCGGTATCTCTACTCAGAGCTATCTGGATAGGTGTTAAGCTTGCATTGATGTAACTCTTTACGTCGAACTCTTTATCACCTCCATAACCGAGAAACATATCCTTATTCCTCTAAGGATAATTTAGACCGCTATCTGGTGATCTA